TAACATCAGCGATATGTGTGAGCCAGTTGCAAACTGCCGCTACTGACACAATATTCATCAGATGGAGCATAGTTTCTCAGCACATGATAATCCAGTTTGCATTTAAATTTATCGACAGTATCTGAAAGGACCACCTCATAAATGAGTCCGTTCCTTGCTCCACTGACCCTCTACGAGAAGGCGTTCCGTCGGACGTCCCTGTGGTCGGGTTCCCATGCAATTTAAAGGGATGACCCCGCAGAGGTTTCGTCCAAGCCAATTAGAAGATGTCACCAAATTCTAGGGTGCACTCACGATCTCTAACAATTCGGTAGGTTTTAATTAGGTCACCGCGTTGTTGCTTGTAACTGAGAGGAAACAAGGCTTGTTCGGTCAATCTGTCTTCGTAAGGCAGGTAATCAAGATTCTTGACTATCTTCGTAGCTCTCACCTGCACTCGTTTCAGGTGCAGATAATCCTTCTTAAACCATGGGCTTCAGGCCTGGACAGCATATTCCAAGTGGTACCGAACAAGCGCTCCGTATATTTTTTTTAAAGGTTCCTTGTCAAATTGCAAACAGCACCTGTGTCGCGCGTTTAGCCTCCCTTAGATACTGTGAAGATGGTTTATGCGAGAAGTTTATTAGAACCCCGAGGTCTTTCTGTTCTTCAACATTTGAAAATAGAAGCCCATCGAGGAGGTATTAGAAGTAATCATCCTCCTCATTGGTCCTTTTCGTACGGAGCCTTAAAACCACACACACTAACGCTTGCATTTAAGAGCCAAAGAGCAGACTAACGGTTAATACGGTTGAGACTCTCTTGGAGCGTTTGCATATCGGCGTCAGACCTGATGGCTCTCCAGATTTTGGCGTTGTCAGCAAACATGATGGCGCTGTAACTCAGGTTGTCGAAACAGTCGTTGATATAAATTAGGAAGAGCAAAGGCCCTAAGACGGAGCATTGTGGGACACCCCTTAAGCCACTGGTAGGGGTTGAATTTGAATGACTGATGCGCACAGGTTGCGACTGCCCGTGAAAAATCTGTGATCTATGCTATTAGGTTCCTTCTTATTCCAATTTCCGATAATTTAGGCATCAGACGTTTATGTGGGACGCTGTCAAACGCCTTCTTATAATCAATATAGAGGACATCAACCTTACGATCTCCACCCAGTGCGCGAGTCCACTGCTGATTTAAGAGCAATAGGCCGGAAAAAAACGTGATTCTGTCTGAAGCCATGTCGGAGCCCTGAGAATAAGTTGTTCTCCTCCAGGAACTTATTTATCGCCTTTTTATTTATCGTTTCCATTGCCTTACAGCAAATGCAAGTTAAGCTGACGGGCCGATAATTGTTCACCTTGGTTCGGGCCCCTCCCTTGTATATCGGGTATGCATTTGCCGTTTTCCATTCGAATGGCAGTCTCCATAATTCAAATGAAGAGCGGAAGATATGCGCTCGCATGCAAACTCTTTCAAGAACTTATCCGGTGTTCCACTTGAACAGGATGACTTTGCTTTTTTGGGTTTTGCAGCATTATTTCAACTACAGACGTCGGGAATAATAGAGATTGTAGTACTGGACCAGCGCTTACAACAGCACTGTTGACATTGCGAAATTAAAGCCTGGTTTCCCTAGTGGATACCAAAGCAAGAAACTAACCACAGTACTCCACTTTCTCCCCATTATCATCCTTAAGTGCTGTAACTGGGTCTATATTTTTTAGTCAGCTATTAATATAGTAGTATAAAATTTTGGGCTGTTGGAGGATTCTTGATTAATAGTTTTCCTTGCCTGATGAATCGATTTTTTCCCGAATTTATTTGGTGACTTAATTTATCGAGGTGTACTGGTGACACAGTTTCCCTGAATAACTTCTATTTCTTATTTTTCTTCTTTACTTGCCTGTTAACGTCTCTCGTCAACCAGGCAGGGCGACCAGTCGTCTTTTGTACCTTCACCGGACAACAGCGCTTAATCAGGTCTAATGAAATCATCTTAAGCGATCTACCGTCGTCCTCAAGATCTTCCTTGAGCATCCAATCTCAATTCAAGGACGATAGTGCATTATTCATCGAATTAATATCTGGCCCTCCGTTCTCCTTGGACATTGAGAATTGAGGGAGTAATTTCATATTAACATCGTATGATCAATCTTACCGAGCGGGACACTTGAATGGCCTTCCTCAATGTAGGAGAAATTCTCCGTAAAAATTAGACCCAATCAACTAGCTCTCTGGTTCTCTCGAAATCTGTTTAGTTACTTAATGTTCTGTGCCAGAGTGAGATCGAGTGTGAGTTCGATTAACTTAAGACTTAAGACTTAAGAAGTTGGCGCCTCCTCGACTGTCAGATTTTCCCAGTCTATTACAAGTTTAGTGAAGTCGTCAATAATAAGAACCTCTTGGTGGATAACTGCTCCCTTCACCAGACTAAGGAGCGACTCGTCAGCTGCACTCAGCATGTTCGGTGGCCTACATACCACCTGAAATTCTGAGTCCTGTAAATTTACCTCTTTTAGCTTCATCCGGATAGATTCATACTCAAGGGCGAGGGTGTGCTCTCGTTCGACTACGGACACTGCTGTTCTTAAATATACTGCAATCACGCCAACTTGTCTGTTTTGACTGTTTGCAAAAAAAGCTGGCATTCTTGTATCGAAATCTCGGAATCCGCAATCTGTGTTCTGAGCCGCGTTTCCATTATGGCAGCAACATCAGATTTCCGATCCGAAACAAATGCCCTGAGTTCGTCAGTTTTTGAACGAAGACTTCGGGCATTTGTTTACATAAAGCTCAGCTCAGTCAAAGAAAACACGTTATAGCGTGAGACTGCATGCAGAAATCTGTCGGTGCTGATAAAGACGGACTGTTTTCCCTCCCGACTAGGCCATTAGTGTTATAGGCTTTCTCAGGAACTCTGACCTCTTGCCATGTACGATTTCCCTGTTCAGTATTCGGAGAGTGCTCTCGCCGAGTTCGCGTCTCCCGCGGAGTTCTTTTTTGAGCAATCTCCATTTCTCCCGCTCCACGTATAAAAAATCAGACTGAAAAATACCGTTAGGTGGGAGTATCTGAGTATCGCTTTCCTGCTCAACAACGGCTGGGCCTCGAGCTCACTCTTCAAGACAGTCTTCAACGGTCTTGGTTAGCGTTGTTCATCATTTGATTCTCTTACTTGGCCCTTTCGGAACGCGTTTTGAACTTCGAATTTCTCCTCATCCTTTAGGAGGGGTTTGAGATATTTCTGGAATAATTCCCTGTTGCCTTAGTCCAGCAAGTTATAAACGGAAGAAACAACTAACACTTTTCGTGAAACAAGGTTGGAATACATTTTCGAACTCTGAGCTATTCGGTAACCGCCGTATATTCCATGGTGCAAAATATGGAAGCCTATGCCTGTAAAAATTTCACAAAAGGATAATTGTCCAATATTATTCTACTTACGCTACTTTATTCATCCGCTTTTGCATTAACAGGCTTTCAATAAATTTAAAACTTAATTTCACTTACTTACCCCTACTCTTCGCTTCTTTGAAATTTTCCATTTTTCTAAAAAACATGAATTTCTAAACAACGTAATATTGCCTGATAAATCGTAATATACCTTCTTTTAAAGACAATTATTCTTTTACTTCAGTAGGACTTTGGGGGACGCAACGTGAGCTGCTTTTGGTTAACAGGGATTCTCCTGTAAAATTCCTTAGATTTCATGAGTTGGAACGGGTACTATATATGATTGAGCGGCCGTTAACATGTTCGTGAAATGAACTATTCGCGTGCTAATAAAGAAACAAAACTGTATTTATTTAACTTACGACTAAATATAGAAAAACCATTCTTCTGCATCTATTATATCCGAACTAAATGCGCCATTCGGGTACGCGAATCGACTGATTACAGTAAAATATTCGCAAGAATCTGTGGGATACGAAGTAGTCAATCCAAGAATACAAGGTAGACGTATCCCAACTGTTAGAAACTGGTAAATAAGAACAAAGGCATTGGCTTTTAAGCATTTTAATGAAAGTTGTAGCCAGTTACTTACTAGCCATTTTAAGTGAATAAAACAAAAAGCCGTTTAATGTCACTACAAAGTGGCAAAAATGTTAATAGGCGGGAAAATGGGAATGTTAACCATATTGCACAAGTTGATACCGATCGAGAAAATGTACGTGACGACCGCTGCGCGTAAGATAAGGAATCTATTTGATGGGGATAGCGCAGAGCTATGCGGTATAAGTGGAGTCTGGGAAAAAGCAACATGCATTGTGCCGGATGGAGGTTGTTTGGCTGGGGCAGTTGAAAGAGGCTCGGTATAAGCCGCTTTCAAAAGGTCGACTGATATCACGACGATGCGATCGCCATGGGCAATTGTAAATGTCTGTGCGTGCGAGAGAGTACGTGGGATTGTCCGTCGTAGGGCTGTTGTGATGGCCGGCGAATACAGTCTGCACGAACAAGTACGAAAAAGCACCTTAGCAAATTATGGTCGATGTGTGACTAGTTTGCTGTAACACGTGGAGGAGTTGTTAGAAGGTTAGTCATTGCTTGGCGCAGTCATAATCAGTAGGATCCAAATGAACTGAGCTTTGAGAGTACCCGACAAATCGCCGTGAATCCATAGGGTGTGCCATAAAAAGCTAAGGCAGCGGAACAGTCCAAGTCGGACTTGAATGCAGTACGGATACCGAGCATGACCAATGGCAGATAGCCGCTCCAATGGGGAGGATTATCATGAGCTCAGAGCGAGGATTTGAGTTGACGGTGGAAACGCCCGACTAAACCATTTGATGAGGAGTGGCATGATGTCGTGCGTATGCGAGAACATCCGAAGAGGTCGGTTAGGCTGTTAAAAGTCCAGACTCAAACTGCTGGCCTCGATCGGTGGTAATAAATGAGGGAACGCTATAATGGGAGATCCAGTGTTCCAAAGAAGCGTGAGCAACCAAATCCACAGTTGTGTTAGTTATTGCAGTTGCGATGGGCCAACCAGTAGATCCGTAAAATGCAGTAAGTAAATGGTTACAACCATGGGGTGTCGGCAAATGACCTACCAGCTCGATATGGGCATGTACGGAACGTGTGTCGGGTAGAAGAAAGGTGCCAAAAGTGGTTTTGTGTGCAGCCGACTTTGATCTTCTGGCAGGCAAAACACGAAGGAACCCACTGGCGGATATCAGTATACG